CAAGTTATTGAGTAAGATGTCACGGTCCGAATCAGAAGTCATAAAGCGTAGCAATGCTATTTATAAATGTAGTGAAGGTCTCGGGTAGTTAGGTCATGTTAGGTATATAGGTCATACGTCTTACTAGGCAGACAGGTCTACAAGGATTAGATTACAGTCATAGGTCATGTTAGGTAGATAATGTCTTTTGCGGTCAGATAGGTCTGCTACAGTCAAAGGTCATGATAGGTAGATTTTGTCAGATAGGTCTACTACAGTTAGATAAATCTATTGCGGTTGTTATAGGCCTTGTTACGTAGATAGGTCTTCTACTTTGACATGTCATAGGTCATGTAAAATAGGTAGGTCTACTACTGTGCCATGTCATAGGTCATGTTAGATAGGCAGATCTACTACTGTGCCATGTCATAGGTCATGTTAGATAGGTAGATCTACTACTGTGCCATGTCATAGGTCATGTAAGATAGGTAGGTCTACTACTGTGTAATGTTAAAGGTCATGTAAGATAGGTAGGTCTACTACTGTGCCATGTCATAGGTCATGTAAGATAGGTAGGTCTACTACTGTGCAATGTTAAATGTCATGTAAGATAGGTAGGTCTACTACTGTGCCATGTCATAGGTCACGTAAGATAGGTAGGTCTACTACTGAGCAATGTTAAAGGTCATGTAAGATAGGTAGGTCTACTACTGTGCATTGTAATAGGTCATGTTAGATAGGTAGATCTACTACTGTGCCATGTCATAGGTCATGTTAGATAGGTAGATCTACTACTGTGTCATGTCATAGGTCATGTTAGATAGGTAGATCTACTACTGTGCCATGTCATAGGTCATGTTAGATAGGTAGATCTACTACTGTGCCATGTCATAGGTCATGTTAGATAGGTAGATCTACTACTGTGCCATGTCATAGGTCATGTTAGATAGGTAGATCTACTACTGTGCCATGTCATAGGTCATGTTAGATAGGTAGATCTACTACTGTGCCATGTCATAGGTCATGTTAGATAGGTAGATCTACTACTGTGCCATGTCATAGGTCATGTTAGATAGGTAGATCTACTACTGTGTCATGTCATAGGTCATGTTAGATAGGTAGATCTACTACTGTGCCATGTCATAGGTCATGTTAGATAGGTAGATCTACTACTGTGCCATGTCATAGGTCATGGTAGATAGGTAGATCTACTACTGTGCCATGTCATAGGTCATGTTAGATAGGTAGATCTACTACTGTGCCATGTCATAGGTCATGTAAGATAGGTAGATCTACTACTGTGCCATGTCATAGGTCATGTTAGATAGGTAGGTCTACTCCAGTTCTCATGGTATATTTGTCATTTTCACAACTTTTCAACCATCTATTTACCTCTTAACCATCTATTTACTCCTTAACCATCTATTTACGACTCAACCATCTATTTACCACTCAACCATCTATTTACCATCAAACCATCTATTTACCATCAAACCATCTATTTACCATCAAACCATCTATTTACCATCAAACCATCTATTTACCACTCAACCATCTATTTACCACTCAACCATCTATTTACCACTCAAACATCTATTTACCACTCAACCATCTATTTATCATCAAGATTTATATTACTGTTCAACAAACTAGAAACAAAATGAATTTGAACGTTAAAATGATCAGGCAGTTACAACCCAGATTGACTTTATTTGACAAAATACAAAACATAACACAATTGATATGTGAGGCTTTAACAATATTTTACCCATCAAAGTTTCACTAATTTTTAAGAAAATAATATGCACAACATACATTTTTTTCAAATATTTTTAAATGACATATTCAAGCTTTATAATGCAATATAAATTGTCATGTCAACTGAACTTTAAAAAAAAATTTTTTTTTAAATATATCAAGTTTTTGTACACTTATCATGAACATTTATACAGACGTGTTAAAAAAAATACTTTTAAAAAAGTAGCAAAAAAAAAAAAAGAATCAAATTACAAAGCACAAAAAGAAATAAGTCACCATAATGAAAGACTTTTTGTAATGGTGGTTGCTCATATGATAAATATGTCAAAAGTGGTTGCTCATATGATAAATATGTCAAAAGTGGTTCCTCATATGATAAATATGTCAAAAGTGGTTCCTCATATGATAAATATGTCAAAAGAAGTTGCTCATATGATAAATATGTCAAAACTTTTTTTTTAAAATTAACAAACTTTATGAAAACCAATGTGTTATTTGAAGTGTAGTTTTTTTTTTATTAAGTTTTAAAATTCTACACAAATAAGCTGGTAATAAAACACTGACACTCCAGATTGACAGTGTCAACAAACACTGACACTCCAGATTGACAGTGTCAACAATTTAATCAGTTAATTCACTTTTTCTACACAACAAATTCACTTTTCTTACAGTACTTAACAAATGGCAGTAGGTGCAGAATGGCACATTCGAGAACAACATTGACTTCATTCTATGCTCACTTTAAAATTAACAGAGATGAATAACAACTTGAAGGTTGACCTCATGCTTTGAAGGTCTGACCTCCCAAAAGTCAGTGATTGAGGATATCATCAGACATCATGCAAATTGTAAATACATTCTTAAGCAACATACATAATCAGATCTACAACACCATCAAGTGGAAATTGTTAGTTCCTATTCCAAACATATTAATTTCAATGTTAAGATTATCACAAAAGAATTATTTCCATTTTTATGTCATTTAATTTATGAATAAAACATTCATTTCTAAAGACATAAATTGGTGATCTTCATAAAATAATGCCGTATAGTTAGAACATATTTCTTCAACAAAATAATCCTCTGCAGGTGAGAGTATTTAAGGAATCAACAAATAATTTAAGTAATATATAAATAAAGTGCTTTGAAATAAAAGTTGGATCAGTGAAATTCGGTTTCTAAACTAGCAACGACTCAAAATACTTTAAATGTTTTCATAATCTACAAGCCTTGACCCTGGGAAATTGTTAAAAATAATTTGAATGCTCTTTCTTCTTTAAAACACCAAAGGGGTCATCCATAAAAGACGTCCACACAAAAGGGGGGAGGGGGGGTTCAGCAAAAAGTGGACCAAAGTGGACAAGGGGGGAGGGGGTTTAGGACAAAGTGGATGTCCACATTGTAGTGTTTTTTTGAGTGCAGCAGTTCTGCATACATTTACTGCCCGATCACAGTTACAGTAGCATGCCTTTTGATCTCTATTGTCCATCGGTGGCTGGGAGAATTTCCAAGAGAATATGTTTTGCGGTAAATATTTCCCATCACAGGCGGCACTAACAAAACATAAGGTCGTCCATTGCAATATTCCTGCTAGGGAACATAATATGGCAGACGAATCAGACGAAGAGACTGACACTCAAATTGAATTAGCAATTGAAGACTCAAGAACAGATGTTGTCATTATGCGAAACATGTTTGAATGGCTGCAGTCCGAATTTTCCGTTGATTGAAGAATGTTGGATTATCTGTTTATTATTTTTTTTAAAGTATTCATTAATTTAAGTTCGGTAAATTTTATGTTTTGGACGTCCACAACTTGGGGGGGGGGGGGGGG